AGAGTTCGCTAAGTGAAATCATAACTGTGCTTATGATCTTTACTTCAGTTTTTCTTTGTTTTCCATACCTGTGAATGTCATAAGTGCAAGGACCAGTGTTGAAAATGTTTCTTTTTCCATCATTGTTGTAAGGGCAAACAGTTGCCATACAAGGCAATCACTAAACTAGAACTATCTGTAATGCCAAGACAATTTCTTTGACATCACCAACTCAGCTTAAGGCCCTGTTTATTTATTTCGATAAATAAATCTGTACATGTGGAATTATTGGTGAGAATTATCTGTACATGTTGAATTATTGGTGAGAATTATCTGTACATTTTGAATTATTGGTGAGAAACTGAGATATATAAACATAATAAATAACTAGAGTTAACTTGGAAGAAGGAATAGTTAGGTCTCATTAAAGTTACTTCGGACTTAATGTTTCTATATTTATACTGAGTTAGGTGGTGTCTGTGATTGTGGAAAATATCGCAAAGTTGTCGGACAACTGGACATCAATGTGGCTCGACTCAAAAATTCCATTACCTTCGTGAAGAATGGTAGGTTTCATATCCTTTGTTTTTGTTAATTTCTCTTAAATTGGGGATTCACGTGGGATTCTCCTGGAAGTTGCGCAAAAGTGCCCAAATCCCTCAAAGACCATGCCATCAAAATTCAGGGGAAAACATTCCAAGCTGGAGATGTGCTACAAACTCAAAATAAATAAATAAAATATAATATAATATAAATAAATAAAAACATCTGTCCTGTATCCAATTTGTGCTTAACCACAACTGTAGCATTTAAGCTTATGTACCATTCCCATATCATTTTACAGCACTCTCTGGGCAGTTTGCAATGTAAACACATCTGCATCCTGCCCCCAATAATCCAGGTTCTCATTTTACCAACTTCAGAAGGATGGAAGGCTGAGTCAATCTTGAGCCCCATCAGAATCAAGCTCCAGGCTGTGGGCAGAGTTCAACTGCAATACAGATAGTCCTCAACTTACAACAGTTCACTTAATGACTTCGAAGTCACAATAGCACTGAAAAAAGTGACTGATGGCCGTTTTTCACACTTATGACCATTGCAACATCCCCAAAACAACCTACTCATATTTATGACTGTTGCAATACTCTAGGGTCATGCCTTTTTGTGACTTTCTGAAAGCAAAGTCAATGGGGAAGCCAGATTCACTTAACAACCACGTTACTATTTAACAACTGCAGTGATTCACTTAACAAATGTGGCAAGAAAAGTCGTAAAACGGGGCAAAACTCACTTCACAAATGTCTCACTTAGCAACATAAATCTGGGGCTCAATTTTGGTCATAAGTTGAGGATTGCCTATACTACACTGTAACCACTGCACCACCAGGAGTCTTCCTTGTTTTATATATAGACATCCATGATTATAGGCCAGTGGTGGCTAACCTTTTTGGGCTCCTGTGCCAAAAATTGCATGTGTGCCAGTGTGCATGCACTCATGTGCCAGAACCCAGAATGCAATGTGCGGGCACCCTCCCCACACCCCCTGCGCATGTACGTGCAATCCCCACCCCCACCCCCTTACCTGCACTCTGCCTCACAGCTGATTTTTCGGCTGGTTTGAGGCCTTTTTCGGCCTCCCAGAGGTTTGGAAAATGCCTCTGTAAGGCTTTTCAGGACGAATTATAGGCCTGTTTCATCACTTCAGGTATTACAGGAAGTGACAAAACGGGCCTATAATTCATCCCGAAAAGCCTTGCAGAGGCATTTTCCAAGCCTCTGGGAGGCCGAAAAAGGCCTCAAACCAATGGGGGGGGAATCAACTGTGAGGCGCACGCATGCGCCGTGAGGTAAGTTTGCCTGCGGCTCGTGTGTCAGCACGAATGGCTCTGTGTGCCACTTGTGGCACACGTGCCATAGGTTCGCCATCACGGTTATAGACTTAGGCATCCTGAAATGGCTATTGTTGTTTTTTTTTAACCAGCTTTTTTATTTCTCTTTCTAAAAGTGTTAGCAGGCATCAGAGAAACAGAAGAAAAATACTACTACATTGTTCAGGAAGAGAAGAACTACAGGGAAGCCCTTGCTCACTGCAGGATTCGAGAAGGAATCTTAGCCATGCCGAAGGATGAGGCTGCTAACACGGTGATTTCTGACTACATCTCCCAGAGTGGCTTCTTCCGAGTCTTTATAGGGCTGAACGACATAGAGAACGAAGGCCAGTTCATGTATGCAGACGGTACACCATTGCAAAGCTATAGCAATTGGAAGGAAGGAGCTCCTCAGGACACCCAAGAGAATGAGGACTGTGTGGAGATGCTCAGTACTGGGAAATGGAATGATACGGAATGCCACCTCACCATGTATTTCGTCTGTGAATTCCCAAAGAGGAGGACGTAGGCTAAAGTTTAGTTTAGTTTAGTTTATTGTCATTGCACCTCGTACAACAAAATTAAATACCATCTTCAGTGTACATTAGGACTATAAAAATAAACATAAACACACATCCTTCACGTTCTATACATTGAATTGAAAACCACTGATATTACACTATACATTCAATAGAGTTGCTGCCCTGGCATAGAAGCTGTTTTTCAGCCTACTTGTCCTTGTTTTTATTATCCTGCACCGTCTACCATATGGTAATAGTTCAAAAAAAGGTTGCCCAGGATGAGATGGATCTTTGAGAATGTTTTGAACTTTTTTAAGGCAGCGGGAGCTATAAAGCTCTTCCAAAGAGGGGAGAGGGCAACCAATGATCTTCTGGGCAATGACATTAACCCTCTGGAGTGCTTTCCTATCTGCCACTGTGCAATTGGCAAACCGTACAGAGGTGCAGTAAGTTTAGATACTCTCTATGGTGCAGCGTTAGAAGGTCACCAGCAGTTTTTCATTCAGTTGCTGTTTTCTAAGAAGTCTTAGGTAATATAATCTCTGCTGGGCCCTTTTGACCAGCACTGCAATGTGAGCATCCCAGGACATGTCCTCTTTTAGGGTAACACCCAGAAACTTAAAACTGGCCACTTGCTCCACTCAGTCTCCATTGATAAGCAAGGGCTGGATGTCTGATCTGTTCCTTCTATAGTCCACTATAAGCTCCTTGGTCTTATTGATATTGAGGACAAAGTTATCATCTCCACACCACAAAAGCAACCGGCCCACCTTCTCTCAATAAGTAGGCTCATCCCCCTCCCTGGAGATGAGCCCTACCACTGTTGTATCATCTGCAAATTTAGTAATAGTATTACTAGCGTGAGTGGGAATGCAGTCATGCACATAAATAGAATAGAGTAAGGGACTCAACACAGAACCCTGTGGCATACCAGTTAAGAATAAGGGCTGAAGAGGTATGATTACCTAATCTGACCATCTGTGATCAGCCAGACAGGAAATCCATAATCCAAAGGTAAATTGAATAAGAAAGTCCAAAGAAGACTCCTAACCTGCACTGTAGAATCATTCTTTGTCTGCTCTAGGGTTTAGGACTGTCTTTCCCAGCTTGAGGTCGCTCAGAACAGTTGAACAGTTGAACATTCTCACCATCCTGACACCACATAAGTGTGGAAAGATGAGAACTGGAGTTCAAGATATAGGGAGGCCACCACATTAAGAATAACGGGCCTTTGGAAAGAATCTGGTTCTCAACAGAAGAGACTATTCTTAACTCAGGGTTGAACTGTGGGGGTCCTTGGTGCCTTCTGAGCTTAGTGGTTTGCTCACGGACGTTTCATTACCCAACTAGGTAACATCATCAGTGTTGGAAAGCCACCAAATTTAGAGAGCACCAAGGAATCCACAATCTGGTTCTCACTGAGGGACATGGGAACAAATTACAATTGGACATTCACATGCCAAATTGTGGGGATTTGTCTTCCGTTAGTATTTTAGTCCTACAGAATGAAGTTGGAATGTTGTTGTTTTTCTTCTAAAACACATTAACAGAGTTGGAAGGGACCTTGAAGGTCATCTAGTCCAACCCCCTGCTCAGGCAGATCCTACACCATTTCTGACAGAATCTCCAATCTCTTTTTGAAAGTCTCAAGTGATGAAGTTCCTACAACTTCCAAAGGCAACTTCTGTTCCATTGGTGGATTGTTCTCACTGTCAGAAAAAAATTATCCTTATTTCCAAGTTGAATCTCTCCTTGATTAGTTTCCATCCATTATTCCTTGTCTGGCCTTCAGGAGCTTTAGAAAATAGCTTGACCCCCTCCTCTCTGTGGCAGCCCCTCAAATATTGGAACACTGCTATCATGTCTCCCCTGGTTCTTCTCTTCACTAGACTAGTTGTGCCCAGTTCCGGCAACCATTCATCATATGATTTAGTCTCCAGTCCTCTAATCATTTTGGTTGCTCTTCTCTGCACTCTTTCTAGAGTCTCAATATCTTTTTATAGTGTGGTGATCAAAACAGAGTAGGCAACATGCTACCTGCAGGACACCTATGTATCACCAGAGACTTCTCTAAGTATGCACCAGGTATCATCTTCAGTGACATAATTTTAACATTATTATAGTCACACACAAAAAATGTCCAGAAATGGTCAACTGAAAAACAAAGCATCAATGTCTACCCATCATATTTATTTGCCTTAAAACTCACAATGGACATATAATCTCACTTATTGGAATGATAAGAAGACCAGTTCGTCTTCAGTAAAACGGTTAGCGGGAGTTCTGATTTTACAGCCATTTTTATCACAGCCATTAAGCAAATCAGGCAGTCTTTAAGGGAATCGTGTGGTCATTAAGCAACTCTGGCTTCCCCTGTTGATATTATTCGTCAGAAGCCAGTAGATAAGTTCACAAATTATGATCACATGACTTCACGGTGCTGCACCCGTCATAAACATGAGCCAGTTGCCAATTGTGATCAGGTGACCACGGGGGGGGGGGGGTATGATGATGGTGAACATTTTGAGTATGGGTCATTTTTTCAGTGCTGTTGTAGCTTCAAACAGTTGTTAAACAAACTTGATTGCAGGAAATACGACTTCAGCAACAGAGTGGTCAATGTCTGGAATACCTGACTCTGTAGTTTCTTCCCCAAACCCCCAAAACTTTAACCTTAAGACTGTCTACTATTGACCTCACCCCTTTCCTAAGAGGTCTGTAGGGGGCGTGCATAAGCGCACCAACCTGCCTACCATCCCTGTCCTATTGTTTCTTTTATTTTTCTTATATGTACCCATTTCATGTATTCATAACTATGTATATACTTATACCTATTATCTTGTAAGCAATTGACAAATCAAATAAATAAATAAAATAAAAGTTGAGGACTACCTGCATTTTGTGAATAGCCATGCCTTCAATTTTACAGTACAGGTTGGCTTCGGCTTACAACCTCCACCGAGCCCAAAATTTCTGTTGCTAAGCAAAACATTTGTCAAGTGAACTTTTGCCCCTTTTTACGACCTTATTTGCCACTGTTGTTAAGTGAATCAATGCAGTTGTTAAGTTAGTAACACAGTTGTTAAGTGAATCTGGCTTCCCCGTCGACTTTGCTTTCAAAAAGGTGATCATATGACCCTGGAGCACTACAACCGTCATAAACACGATTCAGTTGCCAAGTATATGAATTTTTGATCGCATGACCATGTTGCAAGGGTCTTAAGTATGAAAAACGGCCATAAGTCACTTTTTCAGTGCCGTTGTAACTTTCAATGGTCACTAAACGAACTATTGTAAGTTGAGGATGACTTGTACCTATTATATGAAAAATGAGTCTTCTGCAACAGCCATTTTTTGACTGGGCCCATATCAAGTTCTCACAATTTGAATGGTGGCTCTGATCTCATCTTCCTTCTTATTTCTTGCACTCTGCACATATGCATCTGAAGAAAATGTAGCCCTGTAGCACACGTGTGATGAGGACAGAGAAAAAAAATCCAAGAAAGAACAAAAACAATAAATTTTTCAGCTACAAATGTATGGATTGATAACTGGGCAAAGTTCCATTCCATCATATTTACATCTGGTTTTTTTAATTAATTCTCCGGATATAAATAGGGTAGTGGGGGAAGATTTATTTACTTCTGAAAATGCACAAAATGGACAGATTCTCAACCCTTTCTTTAATATTTATGGCCAAAGGGGTTTGTTAACAGAGATTGCATCTCTTTTGTCACGCCTCCTGGAATAAACGTGTAATTGTGTGATTTGTGGCGGTCATACGGTTGGCCAAGAAGTGCTACAAAAGGCATTCGGCTACCCGGCCTACTATTAGTGCCATGAACTTTTCTATTATGATAACATAGGGAAAAGTTGGATGTCCTGGCTCTGTTACATACCTTCAGAAGTGAGATGAAGCTAGGATAAGCCAACTTTCACACCTTCGAAAGTGAGATGGATTTTCTTCCTGGAAATTTGATCCTAGCAAATTAACATGGCATAATTCCTTTACATCTTTACTTCAAAATACACCTCAGCTTGGTCTCCGTTCTTTACATACAGGTTAATCCTTGACTTAAAACCATAGTTAGGACCAGAATTTCCATTCCTAAGTGAGGCAGATGTTCAGTGATAACAGGTAACAGATAATCAGAAGGGACCTTATAGATCATCTAGTCCAACCCCCCACCCAAGCGGGAGACCCTACACCATTTCTGACAAATGACAGTCCAATCTCTTCTTGAAGGTCTCAAGTGATGGTGCTCCAACACCTTCCGAAGGCCAACTGTTCCATTGGTTGATTGTTCTCACTGTCAGAAAGTTTCTTCTTATTTCTAGGTTGAATCTCTCCCTGTTCAGTTTCCATCCATTATTCTTTCTCTGCCCTTCAGGTGCTTTGGAGAATAGCTTGACCCCTTCCTCTCTATGGCAGCCCCTCAAATATTGGAAGACTGATATCATATCTCCCCTGGTCCTTCTCTTCACTAGACTATAACCATTCTTCATATGTTTTAGCCTCCAGTCCCCTAATCATCCTGGTTGCTCTTCTCTGTCCTTTTTCTACAGTCTCAACATCTTTTTTATAATGTGGTGACCAAAACTGGATGCAGTACTCTAGATGTGGTTTTACTAAGGCTTTATAGAGTGATATTAATAACTCACTTGATCTCGATTGTATCCCTGTTAATGCAATTTAGGATTGCATTAGCTTTTTTGGCTGCTGCTGCACACTGCTGGCTCATATTTACCTGGTTGTCCACTAAGACTCCAAGATCCCTCCCACAGTTTCAAGTGAGTTTCATAACCTTCCTTGCCATGTTTGTTAAGCAAATCATTATAGTTGTTAAGTGAATCGTGCAGTTGTTAAGCAAATCCAGTTTCCCCCATTGACTTCGCTTGTCACAAGCCGGCTGGGAAGGTTGCAAACAGTGATCACATGACCGCATTGTAGTGTGTGTGTGTGTGTGTGTGTGTGTTGCCAAGTTCCCAAATTTTGATTACATGCCCTGGGGATGCTGCCACAATAATAAGCGTCAGGACTGGCTGCCAGTCCCTTTTTTCAGTTGTGCTACAACTTCCAATGGTCACTAAACAAATGGTTGTAAGTTGAGGACTACCTGTGTCTGTCATCTTGTCATGAGAAAGTTTGTTGGAAGGTACTGAAGGATCAGAGGATGGGATGTATGTACAGAGGAGGCCCTAGGGATCAGAGGAAGAGTCATATGGACCCAGGTATGGATGGAATAGATATGAGAGTTAGGAATATGAATTCTGATAAAACATTTTCTCTTGTCTTCATTTCTTTGCCTTAAGCAGCCTTACTCCTTCCTGTCTTCTCTCTCTCTCTACAGAAGGGGGGGGTCGCAGGGGAGTGGGGGTGCTGCCTCAGACAAAGTTAAAACTGCTTTTATTTTTCTCTGCGGAAGGAGGAGGGTCACGGGCAGTGAGGGTGCTGTTTTGAGCTGCTCTGCAATAGGAAAGGGGTTGGAACTGCACATTCTTAGCAAGGCAGAAGTTAACACCTTAAACCACAAGCCAGGATAGCAGGAACAAGAATAGCTTGCTTATAAGAAAAAAAACCCCAAAACCACATAGCTGGCACATGAAACTAGGACACTTTGCAAGATACCCGTGACCTGGGGTGAAAAACAGATGACGCGACATTTAGCTATGTAGGGAGCTGAGATCCAAATAACCAATCACTATTATCTGTTATGCATGCATTATTAGGGGAAGGGCAAAGGGCTGAATGCGACCACCCCTTGACTATAAAAATCGCTGTAAGGTTGTAATCTGGGCCTTCGGTTATCTTTCAAACCAGGGTCCTTATATCTTGGTACCAAAATAAAAGTATATTGTATCACACTTTGTGTCCGGTGACTTATCGGCTTCGACACCAAGCAAGAGCCGAGTTTTGGGGACAACAGTACCGTGTTTTATCCTGAAAACAAGTAATAGCTTGATTTTTACATGTGTGCCCAATATAAGCCCTACCCTCAAAATAAGCCAAAGTTAAAAAAAAAAACCTCACACACTGTTGCACTGCTAAAAATCATGCTAGGATGAGGATAGGGGGGTGGAGCTGCCCCATGTATCCCACACCTGCTTACCTTAGCTTACCTGCTTACCTTACCTTAGGACAGTTTCAGCCAGCCTCTGACCCCTGCCTTGCCTTGCCAACCCACTTTTTCTGCAGCTGTTTGCTACCGCTTATGTGCAGCGCTCTCCCCGGCCTCCATTTTGTCAGCAGAAGCCTTCAGAAAGGCATCTGATGGTGAAATGGAGGCCTGGGGCACCACACACGTCAATCCTGAGCTTGTTTCTTGGCTGCAGAGGCCTTTCCTGAAGGCTTCCAATGGCAAAATGGAGACCGAGGGAGGGATGCCATGCACAAGCAGCAACAAGTGGCTGCAGAAGAAGTGGGCCACAAGTGGCCACATGGGCTCCTGCTGGATGGGGCTGTCAGCACTGCTGCCACAAAGTGAGACAGTGGGAAAGACATTCCCTGAAAACAAGACCCAATACCTGTTTTGGAGGGGGGGAAAATAAGATCAGGTCTTATTTTCGGGGAAACATGATATTGTCCACTTGAATTTAGGTTTGGCCTGCACACACAGAGCAGAAGATGGAGGATCCGCTTTCAGAGCCCCAGTGAGTAAACACAAAATATTTGTGACTCCTCCCCTATTGCTAGATTCCTCCCAAAGGTTTGAGGGAATCAAGTTTTGTTTTCTGAGCAAAATTCTAGATGTCAGATTCTCATGAACAGAGGTAGCCCTCAACTTATGACCAAAATTGAGCCCAAAATGGATGTTGCTAAGGGAGAAATTGGTTAAGTGAGCTTTCTCCCATTTTACAACCTTTCTTGCCATGGTTGTTAAGTGAATCGCTACAGTTCTTAAAATAGTAACCCAGTTGTTAAGTGAATCTGGCTTCCCCATTGACTTCGCTTGTCAGAAGATGGCAAAAGGGAATCCCATGCAACCATCATAAATGTGAGTTTGTTGTCAAGCATCTGAGTGCAAATCACATGGCTATGGGGATGCTGCAACGTCATCAGTGTGAAAAATGATCATAAGTCACTTTTTGCAATTCTGCTGTAACTTTGAACAGTCACTAAGCAAACTGTTGTAAGTCAAGCACTACCTGTATTTGTTCATCAATGATTATGGCACAGTATCAAGTTCCAATAGCAGAAAACAACCCAGCAGGAGAGCTCACTGTGAATCTCAATAGTTAATTTTGTGATGACCCAGGACATGGCACAAAAGTAAATAAATTCCCTTTAATACCTCCAACTTGGCCCCCAAAGTCCAGTTATCTTCCAAAAACAGTCTACAAAGAGAAGAAATGCAGTCCGAACCCAAAGTACAGATAAATTAGAAATAAAAAAAACCAACACAAACCACGCTGAAGTAATTAACACGACAGGCCAGGATAGTAAATTGCAGACATCCAAAAGATAATGAAGCACACACAGTTGGGAGGATGCCAAAACCCAGATAAGCCTGGACAAAGATAATGCATGCTTTGCTTCTAGCAAGGTACTGTGTGCAAATGACCTTATATCCTGTTCTCTCTGCTGCAACAAATGAAAGGGATCAAGGCCCTTTTCTCTCCTGTAAGCCATGTTACTCCCTTCTC